TCAGGTAGAAAAATTTTTCCCCCCAGCCTGGTCTAGCCTACCCACAGGCAGGGGCTGGGGTTGGAGTGGGGGTCTGCTAAGTCAGGATCTTTACCAAAGGGTCCTCCCAATAGCAAGTGTGGGAAAATATCCCCAGGGCACAAGATAAACCAGCTAGCTGCACAGAAGGAGAATCAGAGAAAGAGAACTAGGCTGTCAGCAGCATTAGGATTTTGACTGGTCAGAATTCCAAGTGAGGCGCCTTCAACAGATGGGCCTCTGAAGGCCAGGCACATAGCTGGTTCTCCATCAGTATCTTAAGATCTGAGAACAGAGCCAGGAATCTTGCAGATTTACTCATTTTGATAGGTCCTCAAGACACCTCCTGAATGCTGGTGTGCCAAGCGCTGTAATACAAAGATGTGAGGCCCAGCTCCAGGTCTCTATGAGCTTCTGGCTGTGGGGACATGGGTGTGCTGATCATGCCAGCTCAGGTACTGGTGCTATGACAGAAAAGCTCAGGGTATGTGGACCCCCAGCACATGAGGAAAGAAGGGTTGGGAGCCAGTGCTGCCTCAGCTGAGTCCTGAAGGATGTGGTAGCCTATGTCCAGGAAGTAGCAGAAGCAGCAGAAACAGCAGAAACAGCATGGACACAGGATAGGGCCTCGGACAGCACGGTCATTTGGGATGGCAAGCCTTTCAGCTCTTTAAGGGGGCAGCCCAGTGAGTGCCATTTATGGCTCAGATTAAAAGACAATTCTGTAGTCCAGCCTCATGGGCTCCAAGAAGTCAAAGGACCTGAGACAGAGACCCAGGGTTCACCAGGCTGTTGAGGAAGCCACATGCTTCCTCAAGGGTCAGCCCAGGAAGGCAGGAAAACATGCCAGAGGCAGGAGAAGCTAATGTATACACCTAGATCCTTTTAAGGCCTACAGGTTTACCAAGATATGAAGGCTAGAATGACCCTTGCCAGAAAAGAAATTAGAGGAGAATTAGGGAATGAGAGCCAAATGATTCAAGGAAAGGCTGAAGTGACAGGTGAGGGGAATTTTTGGTGGGACACAAGTAATAACCTACATTTAGAACACTACACAGGGCACAGGGCTTTTATTGGTAACAGAATCGCCCATTGGTAAACAGCCCTCAATGTGTATGGTAACCCCATTAAAATTGTTTAACAAGTAGGTAGGCACACATTTTCAGATTATGAAAAACAAGCCAAGCCATGTACAGTGTGTTCTCAATCACCTGTAAAAGGAGAGAGAATGCCTGAGTGGAACGGAGGGAGAAACCGCAATGACTCACATGTGATGACCCCTGCCAGCATATCTTTGTGCAGTACCCAACCAGGCTAGGGGACGACATAACTATACAGGACAGAATGAGATCTTGTCTCACATCTCCTAAGTGAGCAGGTACCAGAGACAAAAATAACTCCTAATGGCCCACGCACTTATCCAGAAGCTGGGCCAAGTCCTGTGGGTGGACAGGGATTCCTTTCCCAGTATCAGCCTTTCCACACCCTCCCCGCTTACCCCTCGGGGTGGGAGAAACAGTGGGGAGAAGCCACCAAATACTTGGCCTCTGTATCAACAGTCCCCCCTGCTGCTAATGCTAAGGTACCACACAGAAACTGGGGTCCTGGAAAGACAGTGAGGGGACCTCAAAAATTCTGCAACCTTGAATCTATCTCTGGGTCTCAGAACACCTTTTTTCAGAGATCTAATTGTGAGAATGCTCTGAGAAGACCAATCTACAGTCTGGAAGGAAAAGTGGTCCTTTGAGATGAGTGACGATCTGGAAGTGTCCCAAAATGCAAATAAACACATGAGACAGGAAGGCCCCTGGAATTGATCACGTGGTTTTTGCACCTTGATCATTTTTACACCTTGCCATTTACACTAACCAACAAACTGGGCATTTGTCACAGAAACGAAAAGCCCACTATCTTGACTCCACACCTCAAAAAAGGCAAGGGTTTATTAATGAGAACTCTTGTTAGCTTATCTACCCTGTTTTATAGACATAAAACATTAGGAGCCTCCAGGGTTCAGTCTTCTTTTTTTCCATACACTCTCCTGGGAAGGCCAATCCCACTACTCCCTGGCTCTACTGCTACACAGGAAGGAGTCCCCAAAATGATCTTGAGCCCAGTACACTCTCCTTGGCTCCAGACCAACATACTCAGCGGTACCCCTACTGCTGAGAAGTCTTACTGTCCCTCAGCTCAACATCTCCAAACTTCAAGTCATCACCTGCCCCCAAGCCTGCCCTCCTCCTGCACACTGTGTGTGGCATGGACCCAGGTGCTGGTCACCCAATCTTGGACTGTTCCCTAAGTCCTCCTTTCTCCCTTGCCCTTCCCCCACCCCCACAACCACTTGCCTCATGGTTTTGCTCTCCTTTCTGTACCCCACTGTCCTTTATTAATGCTGGGCCTTATGTTTCTCTAGAGGTGCTAAGGTGGTCCCTTAACCAACCAGGTCTCAGTGCAACCCTTCATCAATCCACCCTGGCAACCGCAATCTGATCAGTCACTCATAGACCCAAGATCTCTTGGTGACTTCCCACTGCTCTCAGGGTAAAATTCAAAGTCAGGTCTGGTACTCAAGGCCTCTTCCAATCTGCTGCCAGCTTAGCTCCTTAATTTCATCTCCCTCTCTTTATCCCAACCACCAGAGCTACCCACTGCCCTTGTTCTAACAGGTGGTAGGTGGGTCATGCCCTTGTTACTTCACAAACACTGTCTCTGCCCAGAAGGCTCTTTCCCTCACATGGTCTTGCCACTCCTATTCATTTTTCAAAATTTAGCTGAAGCCTTTCTCAGGAACTGCCACCAAAGGCCACCTGAATGCCACTCTGTGCCCAAAGCAAGCTCTGTCCCCCTGTATGGGAGCACCTCCCATAGTGCCACAGTTCATTTGTCTGTCCCCTGACTCTACTGTAAGCTCCATAAGGGCAGAGAGTCACTCAACTTTGTAACCACATAACACAGGGTACAGGCCTTCCTCATGTGAATTATGATTTCAATAAAGTTATGTGGAAGGAATTTTTTCAAATCATCAAATAATAAGGTTGATTCTTAGTACAAAGCTTGAGGTTTTGTTTCCTTGATAAAGTGACACTTGAAACAGTCACTGAAATTGCTGCTTCAAGTTAAAAAAGGCTTCTTTCTTTCAGGCACAGAGTTTTCATAACAGAAAAGGTATGCTCAAACAGGTAAAACATTGAACAGGGTAAATGTTAAGTACCTTTTAATAACCTGCTTCATTGTCTTTATGTACTTTAAACCAGAAACCACCTAAAAGCAAACTTAGATATGTCATCTGAGGTTAACTTAGACTGTAATGAGAATTAGAAGCAACAATGCGTGCCCAAGGTCACTTGGCCTTCTGGACAGTCCTGGCAGGTGTGGTCAGCAAGAGCTGGTGAGGCCCACCTGCTGGTGAACTTGCAGATCCAGGGAGTGAATTTTATTATTGTTATGAAAGCCTGGCTAGATTACTTCTACACCCACCCCCCGCACCCCCACTGAAGGTCACCCTTACTACCAGATGAAAACCACTACACTAGTTTTACTTAGCACCTTGTTCCATTTCAAGAGGTAGCCGTGGCCCCATTCCATGCCAGACAATGGGGGAGCAAAGATGAATGCAATATGCCTCCAGCTCTGTTCATAGAGAGAGACAAGCTTCTAAACAGAGCACTCACTACCAGATAAGTACATCATGTAAAGGCTTTATCTGAAGGCTGAGAAGATTGGATAAGGGCCAACCTTTAGAATAAAAGGAAGCTGCATGTTGGGGTTGTTCCACTGGCTTGTAAGCCTTTGTAAATGTAACACCTTCGTGAGGTTTCTTGTGCTTTTCTTATCTGGGTTTGTTTCTTCCTTAAAACGAAGAGAACCTACATACTTGTCTTTAAGACAATTAAGCAAACTCAGTGCCTACTATGTGCTGGAAATAGAATGTGAGGATGCAGCCCTCACCTTCAAGTGGAGGAAATAGCTACGTATGTTGAATAATGACATGGTCTTCTTAAAATTCAATTGCCTAGAAGTCCTTGCTAAGTCCCAAGTAAACATACAGAAAAATATAGAAAACCACCTTCAAATGCTTCTATTGGCTCTGGAAAAGCAGACAGACTAATGACTTGGAATGACCATAACACCACCACCACCACCACATCGGCTATCAGGACTGTATCTCCTAGCACACCACTAATCTAATAGTCAACCTGTGCCTCCACACAACTCAGGAGGTCCTTAGACAATCTTTGGCCTTTAATGTTAGCCCAGAGGTTGGTGATCCAGGAGGCCCATGGCACATGTTTCCATAATGGGTAAGGTCACCAGTATTCCTGCTTGAAAACCATGACCAGGTGTGGCCCATCCCCAACCTCTAACTCAGATAGCACAGTGCCCAGGGACCCTGTGGAAACGCTTGTCTCTGAGCCCAGTGGCCAGGCCAAAGGGGCACCCGCCAGACAGGGTTCAACCGTCAGGAAGCAAGTAGGTGGGCATGTCATCCTGTGGCAAGCAAAAGGCAGGAAAAGGATCAGTTGCAAGTCTTAGACAGCAGAACGTTACCAGAGATTCTGTTGCAATTTTGAGTCCAGAAGAGGATTTCTCACCCCTCAGAGACAGACAGTGGCCCGAGGAAGGTGTGACACAGAGCTCCTTCTGACTGATGCCTCTCCATGGGCCAGCCAGCACGCAGACGGCCCTGCCGGTGGGGTGAGTGTCCGGTGGAGCTGAGTGCCGGGGGCCGGGGGCAGTGACAGGAAAACGGCCTCGGGCCGTGGACCTCGGACCTCCGCGCAGCGGCCCACCCCGCCACCTCACCTCCTACCGAGGCCCCACAGTCCGACCCCCACGCCCCACCGAGGCCCCACAGCCCGACCCCCACGCCCCCTCCCTCAGCATGCCCCGCCGCAGTGACAGCCGGCAACCTGGTCCGGCAGTCCCAGAGGCCCCACGGCGGGCCATAACTCCCAGCGCCAAACCCACTGTGTACCCACCTCCGCCGTCGCGCAGCAGCGCTCAGCGCACCGCTTTCTCCTCGGCTCGCCGCGCAACTGAGCGCCGGCTTCCTCACGCATGCGCGCAGACTGCCCCGCCCCCACCGAGCACACGCCAGGAGTTGCCCACCCCGGCGCCCGGGTCTCTGCCACAGCGGACTCTGGGCATGCGCACCGACACCCAGTGCCAGAGCACAGAGAACATGCGCCAGCCCAGGACAGTCCTGGCGCGGAGGGGCAGGAGTTCCCGAACAGTTTCTCTTGGAGAGAGTCGAGTGGGCAGGCGGCTACCAGGCCCTGCGAAGGATAGGGCTAGGGGCATCAGAAGCCAGGAGGGCTGTCCGCAGGAGTTGTCGCCCCTTCCTGGGTTGCGTGTAGACAAGGGAACGCGCGTCTGCGTGGGCACGATGTCCGGCTACTAGTGGGAGAAGGGACGCCGGGGATCCTAAGAGCAGGACTTTAGAGGAGAAGCTCAAAGGCCGAGAGACACAGCTGGATGGAGACAAGAGACAGGGAAACAGCTGGCCAGGAAAGCGGCAGAACACAGGCAGAGACGCTGCAGACAGGGACGCCCAACCGGTAGAGAAAGGGCAGGCATAGAGGACAGAGGGGAACCAGAGGCCTCCGTCCTCGCTGGGGGAGGAGTCACAGCGCCCCCTTCGGGTTGTGGCAAGGGGTGGGGGAACCAGTGTCACCTATCCCCAAGGGGGTCCGTGGACGTCTGTGGTGGCCACAGTGCCTCTGGCTGAGTTATAGCGCTCTCTGGCGGATTATGAGAGTCCGTGGGGAGTGGAGTCACACCGACCCTCCGCGTGTTCTCAGACCTATAATGAATGGGTCCTGGATTCACGAGGAACAGCATAACCTTTTGGGGGATGTCTCAGTGCCTTTTATAAAGATGAGAACACCCTTTGAAGGACTATGACATCACGGAGAGGCAGGTCACAGTGGCCTTTGGAGTGTTCGAAGATCTCCAAAGCATTGGACCCCACAATGAAGTTCGCAGCCTTCTGTAGGTATCAAGGTGCCCCCCTTGGAGGGGGCAGATAGCGCAAGTGTAGGGGAATCCAAGGAATCCTCTGGGATATGGCCAAAAGCAGCTTCCAAACAGATCTTTGGGGCTATGACATCCCTCTGTGTTGCTGTGTAGGTCACAACCCCTCCTGGGCCCTGGATGGAGGCACAGAGGGAGGTGTCCTGCAGGGTTGGGCAGGGGCTCAGATGGCGACACGTGGTATGCAAGCAAAGACTCCTTTGCAGACGGATGCACTAGTTGAATGTGTGCCTTGATGTAGGAGCAGTGCCCAGCCCAGCCCCAGCCTGGCCCTGTAGGCTCAAGCCACCCCGCAGCGTCCCCGCCGCTCCCGCCTCTGCAGCCTCCTAAGGCGCCGAGTCCACGTGTCCCGCCAGGGCAGCACGAGACTCCCGCGGGTTACACTGAGCCCAGGCCCTCGACTCCCTGGATCCCCGGCCGTGGCTCCCTGACCGCCTCCCAGCAGCAGGTAGCGGCGGCCAGGTAGCAGGCGTGGGCAGCCGCAGGCAGCATCCCGTGCTGGCACCCACAGTGCACTGCTCCCTCGCCTTGTGCGCTCCTCCCCGCTCCGGAACACAGCGAGCACGGCCACTGGGAAGCGTGTCCACAAGCCACGTGTCTCACTGCGTGCACCCACTGCCACCTGCACCGCTGCAGCAAGGGCGAGAGGGAGGCAGGGTCAGGCTAGAAGAGGGCAGGCCATGTGGAAGAGCACTGGGTGTCTTTAGCTGGGAGGGAAAGCAGAGGAGGGCCAAAGAGGACACCCACTAGAAAGGGAGGGCACAATGAGACCACCAGGGACTAATGGGGTGGGGCCGGCAGCCTGAAGGACCTGAGGGTTGGGGGGTGGTCTGGGGCCCAGCAAGGGTCAGGGTATCCAAAGGAAAAGTGGGGAGGGCAAGGTGAGAAGGTGAGGGCAGGAGGCCTGGGGGCTGCCTACCATAGTCTTTCCTGCAGAACTTCTTCAGGCTGATGCGATAGCTGCCACGAGTGGGTTTGCAGTGCAAATCACAGTCTGGGGAGGGGTGTAAGGTAGTGGGGAGGCTGGGACAAATCCCCCACTTCCTTCCCCCAACCTCTCCTCCTCTTCCTCTTGAGCCCACAGCACCCCTGCCCCCCATGGACATGCTAGTCTAGGACCCTGATCTGTGTCCACTCACCCTGAGGCTCCACAGGGCTGCTCTCTTCAGTAGGTCCAGGGACAGGGGTCTCTGCAGAGAGGGTGGAAGAATGGCCTGCATTCGAGGGGGGCAGGGGGACCTGGAGAGCTCAACAGACAGGTAGGCAACAGCAGGCAGCTGGGGTGGCCTAAGTAGAACAAGGTCACTCACTAACACAGGGTGCCACTGGAGAGCGACTCTGCTGGAAACCAGGAGCGCAACGATTGCAGGTGAGGCCAGTGACACCATCCTTGCAGGGACACTGGCCTGTGGTCTGGTTACAGGTTTTGCCAGCAGCACCAACAGGGTGACAGTCACAGGCTGAGGACAAAGATGAAATGGTCAGAAACTCATCTGGGAATGTTGGAAAGTAAAGGGTGAGGATGTGCAGGCTCACCCCTGCAAGCGTGGCGATCACTTGGTGCACGGCCTGGGTCTCGATAGAAGCCCTCCCGGCAGTAGTGGCAGTGGCGGCCAGCGGTATTGTGCCGGCAGTTGAGGCAGACACCACCACTGCGGCGGCCTGACAGTCGGTACAGCTCCATGTTGAAGCGGCAGCGGCGGGCATGGCCATTGCAGGAGCAAGCTGTAGAGAGGGATGGGTCAGGGACAGGCTGGCTGGGTCCAGGATCCCCAGACCACCCTCTAAGGCCTCACCAAGGCAGGCGTGGGCTTCCCGGGCTGTGGCCCGCTGCCACGGCCTGTCGCAGTAGAAGGGCTTGCAGCGGCCACAGTCGGGGCCCTCGGTGCCATGCTGGCAGTCGCAGATCAGGTGGCCCTGGGTGTCCAGCAAGCACCGCGAGGCATGCCCATTGCACTTGCAGCGCCCGCCCACCTGGAGCTCAGTGGCTGAGTAAGAGTAAGGGACCATGGCCTCAGAGTCCCTGGTATCTCCCAGCATGGCAGGTCTTGTGAGCACTACTTGGATGTCCGTAGCGGTCACCCAGTCTTGGAGCACAGGGCTGCTGTCCAGATCCAGGCCTGGCGGGCTGCTGTCCTGCACGCTGAAGGCCAAAAGGCCACCACCATCAGGCTGGGTCTGGGGCTCAGGGAAGCACAAAGCTTCAGGCCCCGGGCCAGCTGGGCCATTGGCAGGGGCAGGCAGGCGGCCGTAGTCCAGGTCACAGCAGGAGGAGAAGAAGCCCAGTGGCACCCAGCTTCGGCCATGGTCCTGTGACTTGAGTAGGGCCACTGAGGTGGGGGGCGTGGAGCAGAAGCGTAAGCTCACAAACACCAGCTCAAAAGTTTTGCCCAGGGATACTGTGAGGGTCACGTTGAGGGGCGCCTGCATCAGCCAGTCCGAACGCCAGCACACAGGGCTGGTGGTGCCCCCTGTGAAGGTCAGGAGGGCAGCAGAATGTGCCTGCCGAGCGTCAGAGGAATCACAGGCCTGCGTGGGTGGCTGCTCACACGTGCTGGACGCCAGGACCTCACGGCCCAAGGCCGCATTCACTAGGCCAGGCACGCAGCCTCGGGGTCCCCCCCCTTCATCATGGCAGGGGTCGGTAGGCGCTGGTGGCCCTGGGCTGAGCGCGGCCCAGAGTGTGCCCGCGGTCAGCAGCAGCCCCCAGGGCCAGCTGGGCATGGCCGCAGCCTCCGTGTGTCAGCCAGCTGGCCTTGGCCCCACGCCGCTGCCCTCCAGGGGTTAGAGCTCTGGTCCGAAGCTCTGCCGGCCGTCGTGCAACGCTGAGCAACCACAGGCTCCCGGCAGCCCCAACGGGGGCCCAGAGGTGGGAGTAGACGGCACACCCTGGGCCTAGTGCAGCAGCAAGGATGTTGGCGCTCCTCCTGCTGGGCCTGGAGCGATGACAGCCTTCGCCCAGGCTTCCAGCGCCTCCGCCAGCGGAGGCCCCACCCACCGCACGCTGCTCACACTCACCCACGGAGCAGGTCTCCCGGCCTCCCGGGAATTGCCAAGGGAGGGCGGGCCCTGGGGCGCCCGGGCCTCGCCACCTCCTCCGGGCTGCAGCGAGGGAGCGCAAGCTGTGCCAGTTGGGAGTGGGGGGCGCAGCAGGCTCAAGCCTGGGCTCAGCCGGAGGCGGAGCTGCAGGGGCCGGGAAGGAGGGAGGGGAGAAGAGGGGGCCTCCGCGGCATAGCGGGAATCAGAGGCAGATTCAGACACAGGCTAAACCAGCGGGGGAGGGGCCGAGGAGCCAGGAATGCGCTGGCGGGAGGGGTCTGGAGGGGAAAGTTCAGCCACGCAGCCTGTGGAGGACCACCCAGCAGGGTCCCTGGCCGGCAGCCAGACCTTGACTGCTCCTGGGGCTATGTTACATACTGGGCAGGGGGCCTGACAGGCTCCTCCCTCAGACCCATCAGGTAGGCTGTGCCCTGGGTCTGAAGTCTGGTGCCTGGATGCTCCCTGATGTCGGCAAAGGACATACTCAGGGCATGGGAAACCAAGCCATGCTGGTGGTTGTAGGGTGTCCCCAAGGCGGCAGTCTGCTCTAGTAGAAAGAATCCAGGATCGGGACCAGGTCTGATTTTGAATCCAAGCTGCTCTAATTTCCAGCTGTGTGGTTCACATTCCTTAACCTGCTCAAGCCTCAGTTTCCTCTTTGGCCACATGCCTTGTTATTTACATTCCCAGAGCTGGGGTGGGAGTGGGGGATTTGATGAGCTGCTGGCTCAACATACTTGAGTCCCTCCTGCCTTTTGTTCAGGACAGACTGCACTCCTGCGACTGGCCTGAATTCATCTAAGGGATGAGGCTGGCATCCTCCGCCCACATCAGGCTAAACTCTTTTACCTGGGTCTCTGATTGTCTAGTTGTAACACCATGATGGGCCCAGCCAAGCTGGCAGGGAGGAAGTGGAAGCTTGAGGGGTGGGTACATCTAACTGGGTGGCAGGTCTCCTTTGGGGTTCAGGGTCTTGGATACCTATAGAGAGGTAGGGAGAGGG